AGCAGGAAAGCAGAACAATTCAAAAAGTTTACTTATGTAAAAAGATAAGCCTTCAATTGTACTAAGTGTGCAAAAAAATCTCAAAAAAATAAATTATGTTAAAACTGGAACTTGTATCTATGATACATACTTTATATGGACTTATTCCAAAAGAGATCTATTTCACAGTAGAGCTTTAATACATACATTTCCTTTGAACTTTTCTTCTTTTTCCAAACTAAAAGCTTTCTCACAAACATCTTGAACCAGCTGCTAAAACAGACCACTCTAGGTCAGACTACATAATTGCAGAGCTCAGAGCTATGTGGGATTTCCACCAAAATAGGTTTTCCTCTCAAACATATAAGCCCCATATACTGCTAAGAGATCTGACAAACCCAAGTCTCACCACACCATCCGATAAAGAACAAATTCTTTAAGGTAGTGACTTAATAGCAATTTCTAAGGGCATAGCTACATATTATTTAGTGAGAAAGCCAATTTGAGCAGCACTTGTTCTCCTTTTCTTACCCAACATTGCCACCATGAACAGTCATGCCTGTTCACAAGTTTGCACAGCTGTACTCTCCCTTCATAAACATCTAGTTTGTTTATTTACTTATCTAAAACCCCCAGCCCATTTCAACTGTTCATTTGGCTACTCTCTAAGCCGGCTACGTGAATCAACAATATTGAAGAGTGGTAAGATTTAACAGCATAAAGGGGATGTGGTGGGAACCACTTCAACTGGCTTTGCCACAAGAGTAATCCTAATGAGGAACTCACCCCTAAGTGACCACTGCTGGGAACAGCAACTTAGGGTAGAGCAACATAGTGCGCTAACAGTATTTGAGGAGATAAATGTCCTTCTGTCTTCAGTTTTATTTCAACTTAGCTGGTAAATGGAATGTAATGAACCAAACTCACCTGTGTGTCTGTACTGGGATTCCAGTCAGGATCATAAATAATAACCCGATCAGCACCAGTCAAGTTAACTCCAATGCCACCAACACGAGTTGTTAGGAGAAAAATAAAGATGGATTTGTCCTGTAACACAAGAGAGAATTTACTACAAGAATTACCACAGTAATAACAAGACTTTTTTTTTTTTAGATTTCCTGGATTCTTTTATTATTAGCATTATTTGCAAAGATGCAAAGGGAGCCAAGAGAAGTAATACATTCTTTGTTTGCCCAATATGTCTTTTGACAAATAAAAGTAGTTGATCTAAATTTCATTTCCTGTTGTCCAATAAACCTTCTTCTGCCCCCTTTTCAACTGTGTTTTTTTATTTTTCTTAGCAGAAAACCCAGTTTAAGTGTGAAAGAAGTGGTGACTTTTTTCTCCTCTCACAAAGAAAGTGATTTCATTTGACTGAACTCCCCAGTTTTCTGTCTCAAACCTGAAGGAATATATTTAAAAAAAGACAAAAAAGGAATACAAGAACTCGACCATACTCACTAATAGGCATTAGTGTGTGGGATGCAACATCTCACCTCATTATATCTTGTTATAAGGGGCTGTCTGGAAGCTATTGTGGTGGTGCCATCCATTCTGAGGTAGGAATAGTTTCTCTCTCTCACAAAGACTTCAAGTATCTGCAGCATCTGTTGTGATGGGAAAAAATTAGTAAAATCCAGACATGAAGACTGAGAGACTGAGCAACTGATCAAGTCATAAGAATTTCTCATACTAACTGCAGTGCTAATCAAACAAACGACAACCAAAAACTTTTTAGACATCAAAACTTTTTACTTTTTTAGTCTTAGTAGCAACTAAACCAATTGGCTCATCTTACCTGTCTTGACTGAGTGAAAAACAACACTCTGTGACCTTGCTTGTGCCATATTTTCAGCAAGGATTCTACCACTATCATTTTCCCTGAACGTTTCCAGTATCCAAATTGATCTGCTTCCTCCACTTCAGCATCTGGTACACCCTTCAAAATTTTGGGACCACCAGAGAAGAGGTCAGGGTGGTTGCAAATCTTCCTCAAAGCTACTAGTCCTGAGAAAATCTAGAGTACAGAAGAAAAATATTTTTAGTTTCTTGACAAATAGTTGTATCTACATAGGAGAAGAACAAACAGCAAAAGATTAATCCAGTCATCATCAAGAAGTTTGTTTTAAATAGTGGTTTGCTCTTTAGAGAAGCCAGTGGATGCTAATTCTTGTTTCACGGAAAGTTTTAGGGAAAATCAGTACAATAGAAGGTCAATGGAATTTTGTGCTCTTGTAAGCCTGTTCTGGTGACAATATTAAGAAAATTCTGCAGCAATTTCCACATTAGCAAAAGTGGGCCCTAGCTGGAAGTCACAGTCAAACTTTTACTACTGAAAAGAAAAAAATTCCACCAAATGTGTTACTTGAAATTCTTTCCTTTCAACTCCTGTCATGTTTGCAGGTAACTTAAGACAGACCTTGAGGATAGCAAGTACACCCACCAGAATGCGTGGCAACAAAGAACAGAGGAGTAAACATATTTAAGCGTATGAAGCTGAAAATTATCACTTGTGATGTCATGTTAGAACAGTTCTATTCAGTTATACATTCGATAATATTACAAGTTTTCTGATATAATGGGCACTCATAGAAATGAACTAGCTTGATTTAGCAAATCCCTCAATCTTCTACTACTACAAGTTGGATGAGCCTGCTTATAATTTATGGTTTGTTTGTAGAATGGAATTTTTGTTTTTCTGAGGGGATTCACTGCTGTCATCACAAAACATTTAATAAAAGCATTGACATTTACTGTTCAAAATTTTCAGAACTCTAGCGAATATGACAGCACATTCTGTAAGATCTTAGAGAAATTTCTGCAGGTAGTCTTGCACAAGCCATCTCTTGAAGATCAAGCTCCTTAAAAGAATTTCCACCGGGACAACTAAAATGGCTAGGCACTTGAAAAAAAAACCATGGCCACTATACCTTTGTGAGATTTGGAAAAATAAGAAAGCCAAAACACTGATAACATCAGTACCTGCCTTGCATGGCACTTAATGGCTGTGTTGATCATGCATCCAACTGGAGCTACTGGGGGTGAGGGGAGAAGGGATTTCACAGTACACAAGACAAGGAAACATGTAGTAAATGATAAATTATAACTGAGACATATTACTTCTCCTCTTACAAACAATATATCTCAACATTGAGCCATTGACCACAACTCTTTGCGTACAGCCAATTCTTTATCCACTGAGTGGTCCATCTATCAAACTGATGTCTCTCCAGTTTAGAGACAAGGATGTCGTGCAGGACAGTGTCGAACACTTTGCACAAGTCCAAGCAGATGACATCAACTGCTTTGCCCCTATCCATAGATTCTGTAGGCCCATCACAGAAGGCCACCAGTTGTTCCCAAGATCATAAACATATTGCAAAGCCCATTCCATTCCTACTTTTATTTGGTCACACCACTACATATGGATAATTGACTCTACATATTCCAAGAAACATTTCTGAGAAAAAACCAAAAAAGCAGACATCCACAAAAGCAGAACTGAGATCAGTGTGCTTGCTCCCCTTTCTGTTCAGAATCCAGCTAGAAGAATGTGAAGGTCAGTCCATGACTTTATCCATCAAACTCAACCTGTCTTTAATCTTAATTAATGCCAACCTGCATGTCTCCATTGAGAATCTGGTAAACTTCTTTAGAGTTGATGAACTTTTGATAGACTTGACGCTGCTCATCTGTCAAACGGCAAAACAGGACCTACCAAAACAAGCAAACAAACAAACCCCTCAAGCTCAAAGGTTGTATTTTGGAGAAGGAGAGGGCTCAGATCTAATAGTAAAGATAAGCAAACCTGCTCATTTTTATCTGGAAGTGAAAGGCTCATTTTTACATCAGCCTTCATTCTTCGCAGCAAGTAAGGGTTTATGGTGTCCCGTAACACGCAGGCACATTTGTATGCAGTTTTTACCTGAAGAAGGAAGAAAAAGCAGAAGTTGTATTTTGGTTGTTGATACTAATTTTAGCAATAAGCAAAGTTCCATAAGTAGTAATACAAAAATCCTAATAAAGTGAGATAGTTTATGACTTATGTGGATCGACACTTAGATATTTGACATAACATGAACTGCAATGAAATTCATGTTAGCAAGATAACGCTGAGTAAGTATTTCTCAGATACCACCAATTTACCTTTCCTAATTTAGTGCACTTTAAAAGAGACTAGAAATGAGATCTTTCTTTTAGAAACCAATTCAAGAAGTGAGTGTAAACTTGCACAGAACCAAAATCCTAATGAAAAATTGCTAATACATATCCTCAAGATCAAAAAAGCAGCCTGCAGCAATGGTGATTACTAGACAGTAAGTGAAGATTAGTGCTCGCCTGAGACTATTAACACACACACACACACACACACACACACACACACACACACACAAATCAGTACAAGAAAATCCCCACGATCACAGAAACTAAAGATCACTCTGGCCTTAAATGGAGCATATGGTTCTATAATGGGTAATGGATGTGTGAGATGGGTTTTATCTGCACATAATGGCTAAAAATACCTTCATTTCTCTTAAAGCAAAACAAAGAATATAATAAATTATTAATATATATATAAACCAAATTGGATGTTCAATTTAGTAAACTACTAAGCTTTATACAAGTGAAGTACTTGAACTCAAAAAGAAAATAAAACTTTCAAAATGTATGCGTGCAAAACATTACAAAGAGTATTTTAAAGGATACAAGTTTATTAGCATTTATATGAAACTTAGTCTGCAGCTTATTATGCAGACAATTTACCTATCAGCTAATTTGAAATATGTTTAAGTCATAAATACTAAGAACCACAACTACAGAGATCAATAGACATACTCATTAAAAAAAAATTCCAAATAATTTTTCCTTTCAAAATTGAACAGCTTATCTACTTTCAGACTTCCAATAGTTACTTTAGCTTTTAAAATGAAACAGTTTTCAATTTGAATTTAATTTGATGCCTCTGTTTCATAATTTGCTGAAGCTTGATATCAAACAGGAAAGTTCTACTTAAATACATACAAGATCAGGTACTTCCCACCCCAAGTTGCTTATTTTTACTTTACATTGAAGAATACTTCAAGTGAATTAAACTTTAAGGCTTTTGACAAAAAACGCTGGTGCATAAGCTATACCCTTGTATAAATGGAATGGTCTCATTTAGTGAAACAGGTCTTTTCACACACCTAGCAGTAAAACACACATGCAACTCTTTTGGGTTCGGGTCTAGAGCACACAGCATGAAATGTGTTCGAAAGACAGTTTTCATAAAACATAACAGTTTCCTTCACACAAAGTGATATTTTTGAAGCATTTACCTGGACAGCAGAGGCATTGGAATATCCTCCCATTGTTATTGGAACAGAAAACTGCTCCATGAACACAGGAAGTGTTCCCAGTTTCCCTGGGTATACAAAGTCAAAGAGGGACCAGAGCTCCTTTAGGTTATTTTGCATAGGGGAGCCAGACAAGATGATTCGATGTGGTGTGCGGAACTGTTAATAAAAAAAACCAACCAAACAAAACAACAGAAAACCAAAAGAAAGTTATTTCCATGATGTAACCTGCCTCCTGCCTCAGGGGATATTCAATTTCACCATCAATGAATTCTTATCTTAAAATATGTGGCCTGATATTCCTGAAAGGAACAGCTTTTGCAATATATTGTCCATAATTTTTTAGCAGAAAATGAACACCAGCAATCTGACATTTGTCCCTAACGGTAAATTACAACACAATTTAAAGTTTCTGACTTTTTTTTCTCTACCAGACTTCTGTAAATTTATCAGTGTAAACTCATTTAAAATGTTAAGCAAATTAAATAGTCATATACAGACCATTGTAATTTACACCTTTATTAATGGTCAACTGCGTATTACTATCATAAAATAATGGAGGCTATTAGATTTTGGAGCTGTCTCCCAGAGCACTTAAAATCTTTAAGTACCTGCTTGCATGCAAGTGTGACTGCAGCATTTGGATTTCGGATTTTGTGACCCTCATCCAGAATCACATAGTGCCAGTCATAGCTGTGGATGTTATCCTGCATCAGTCGAATGTATGAGTAAGACGTAATTAAAATTCCATGGCATGAAGCAATTTCATGAATTAGTTTCACCTAAAATCAGAAGGTGCACGTTGTCAGTAACAGTGAGACAGAAAATTCAGACCTACTGAAATACAGGTTTGCTGCCCAAGGTTCATGCAAAAAGTTTTGAAAAAGCAGACATGCAATTTACTTAGCAAAGACTAAGTACAGGCAAGATTTTGATTATATGATTCTTAGCTCATCTGTAAAACAATGAAGCACTTGAATACTGTGTTGTAACAGATCAGAATTTGACTTGAAGCCTGGTCAGAAAGAAAACGTAATTTTTTTTTTTTTTACCTTTTATTTTTTTAAGGCAGTGTCTGAAAAAACAAACATTACAGTAACCAGTTTCTACAAGATCTCCTCACAAACCCAGCTTTTGGTACTGCACACAAGAACTAGAATGTGAGAAGAAAAATAAGTGAAAAACAATGACAAAAATCTATTTGGTTAATCCTAAATTCTGTCCAACCTCTCTCATTAATAGGAGTCACATATGTGCTATTAATGTCCACATTTGTGCTTTTCTTGTAAGCTACATCCTTTCTCCAAGTATTTACTAGCCTTTATAGCTGTAAATTATGTAGGCAGGGACAGTCGATTTCACATTTTACAGCATTTGCAGTATTCAAGGCATCTTTCTTGCATTTATCCTACATATGTAAATCCAGAAGACTCAAATAGAAGACGATGGGCTGGGAGGAATTCTGGATGAAACAAACGTAGAAGGAAAAAAAAAAAATACTAGAACCACTACAGAA